CAGCCTGGTTTCTTACGACTGTATTCTGAGGGTTGATTGCCCATTCTTTTCAACAATCGTTCTTTTAAACAACCGGCCGTTTCCCTTGGGATTCCGCAAGTTTTCTAGAACGCAGGATCCCTCGAAAGAATGGGGAAGGTAGCACTGGAAGTATCTTTCTTGTCCTTCACCCACATGTTTGCTTCGCCTTAGGTGCCACTCGCACATGCCGCTGCCAAAAGACTCCAACGAGGACGCAGGGTTTGCTTGCACCTGCACGTTGGTGGGGAAGGTACAACTCGTGGCTGACGGGGCTCTTCAACATGAGGGAATCTCTGATCTGTGTAAATACTCACTTCCCCCCAAAAAGTCCAAACGTTTTGTTTGCCACTAAGATGGTCATACCAGAAAGTTTAAAGTCCAGGAACTCTGGGAGTGAGAATAGGGCAAGAGGATGAGGGATTGATAGTGAACAGCCCACGCCAACAACCCTTTCTGAGTGTCTGTGGGAGCTCCCTTAAAGGAAAACGGAAACCCTGCCAGATGGCAACGTGGGAAGGAGGCGACCATGGCGACCGAATCACTTTTAAGGGGACTTGAATCCTTGACCGCGCACAGTATGACAGGATTCGGAGGCCTGCAGGTTCCGCGTTTTGTCCCGAAAGGGGGAGGGGTGGAACCCAACCAATCACCTCCATTTGCGAATATGCCGCCAGGAAGACATACAATGTATCCAGAAGTGAAAGATTCACGTCAAAACAAATGGCATCAAATGACAAAAACGGAGCCCCCAAAAAACCTGTCGCTCTGGGGATAAGGGAAAGATGTGTGAGCTCGTTTAACCCCTCAGTTCGTTATACTTTTTTAGGGACCCCCCCAAGTTATTTTTTTTTCTCGTTTGGCGTTCCCTTCAAAACCCTGAAAGAAGGGGTACTTGAACCTGCAAACTACCCCTAAAAATTGTGGTTGCACCAAATTATGGGGTGGTGTCCCTCGCGCACATTGTATCCCAGACGGCGGCCACTCAGTTCTCCGCAAGCGCCCAACGGAGCAGAAATGCAAACCTTTGGGAACGGAAGGCAGTCCAGTCTGCGCGCTTCCGTTGGATGGCCACATCCTCTGTTAGCCGTGGTTACCCTACATGGAAGCGCACTTCCTGCCCTCTCTGCAAGGGGAAAGTTGGCTTCCAAGGCTAGCCTTTGCACTTTCAAGTTTGTCTGTGGGGTGGCCATGCCGGGAGGACCTCAACAACGTGGAGGCGGAGGTGCTGGGAGTGGCAAATGAGGAGGTAATGCACCGCAAGCACAGCCCTTGACGGGGCGAGATCGTGGCGATCTCTGCCCAAACAGATAGAAGCTTGCTCTTGAGATGGTTCCAAGGGAACAGTGACGAGGCTTCTTTGTATATTTGCGTTTGCTCGGTTTACATTCTGTCATGTTGCCTTCCATTTGCTGAAATGTTCCTCAGTTGGTTTTTAGAGGGAACCTATCACTAGTGGACATATTTTTACTTGTTGCAGGGGGCATAGGTTGCCTAAAGCGAGCCGATCAATCGAGACGGTCACTCTTAGTTGGCCTTTGCGATCGGATTTTAGCCGGCATTTGTTCCCTTGGAGTTGTTTAAAACCTCGTGAGGTTTGCATCATGAAAATCGGTTCCCCGCCAAGTGTTTATCCTGAGCATGAAAATCCGCTGTTCTCAGAGGTTTCCGGTTTCATCCGGCCCAGCTTTTGTGAGTTACCTCAAAAAGCGTTCACTCTTCCGGCTGAATTGCTGGAGGGCCCAAAAGCTTCGAGCCAAGCATGAGAGACGCGAAAGCCACGAGAAGCGAATCACCTGGCGGGGACCCGATTTTCATGACGAAGACCTCACAAAGAAGAAAAACGCCTCGGCTCCAAGAGAACAAATGCCGGCAAGAATCCGATCAAGGCCAACCCTAAGAGCGTCCGTCTCGATCGGTTCGCTGTTGAGCTTGGGACCTCCAAAGCCCCGAGCGCAGGGATTCCTAATGCCGAATCCGGCTAATTATGGACCCCATAGATTCCTGCGGTCAGAGAGCACCGCTTTCTCTCAACATAAGTGGACCCGGCAGGGGTTGCTTGCCCAGAATCCGCAGTAGGTCTTAGCAGGCCCGCGAATAAGCGGCGCCATCCCAATGCCCACGCCCATGTCGGCTGGTACGCTGAGCGTCCCTGACCAAAGAGTGGCCTGGCCTTGGTTGCTATGGACAGAATTTTATTCTTGCAGCCTGTGCTTGGCACAGCTTGATGAGGAAAAAAATGGCTTGCGGGCCGCCGGGCGGGGCCCTTCCGTAGGTCCTTCAGTTTCGAAGCTGTCAGGGCGTCTCGAGGACACCATCCAAGCGTGTCACGCTTAAGGAGGGGGGGGTTTTGGGTTTGAAGAAAAGAATCCTACAGGTGTTTCGTGGTCATATTGTAGATGGACCAAATCGGCAAGCTCAACAACATCCATGCGCAGGCCGGAATTCGGAATGGCCCAATCTGCCCCGAGCAAAAAAATCGCCACGTCGGGGGTGCACGGCGCCATCGGTCCTTTGCCACACGGTCCATGTTAAGACAGTCCAAGTCTATGTGTTTCAAAGGGCACCCTCCCAGTCCATTGCTTTGGAGAGCATAAAAAAACACATCCCCAACGCCCCAAGTTTAACTTGGCATATGAACACCTCAGCCCCAGAAGCTCGGAGAAGCCCTCAAAAACGTCCAACTGAGAGTCCTGAAGCGCGTTTTCTGAGGGCAAGGCCAGGGGCCGCGGTGCGGAAGCTCCCTGGAAAAGATGGGTCTTAGAGAGTTCGCGCGCCTCGGCCTCTCGTATCCTCTCGGGGTCCTCGTTCAAAGATTTGGCAAGAGGTAGCTTCCGCGTTCTTGCGTTTTTTTGTCTTCTTCTTCTTTTTCCGGAAACCTTGGTTTTGTTTTAGGAATCTGTCACTCACTACTGGAATTGTTGTTTGTTTTTCCAGGGCCCTAGGTTAAGCAAATGGAAGGAAGGGTCTTGAGAGGCCATGATAGGCCTTCATGCAACACATCCACTGGTTTAGCCTCAAAACACAAAGACAGTTCCTGAACACAGCCACTACTGAAACTTAACTGACGGGTCTCGGGTTGAACTGTGGGTTTTTTGGCTAGCATCCATTTGCTGACGCATATTGTTCTTTTTATTTTCCCCGGTGGGTTTTTAGAGGCAATCTATCACTACTGGAAATTATGATAGTTTTTCTGGGGGGGGGGGCGAAAACGCAAATCGAAGATCATGTTGACCCAACGTGAGATCTTCCGATGGCCATCGCTTGAAGAAATGGGAACCCCGAAGTAAGAAGAAGCCCTGGTTGATTAGTAAGGTTGACCCCATGTTTATCTGGGCTCCTGAAAAGATACATTTTGCAACCATTTGACTCATGGCTTTTTCCACCAAAATAAAGGGACACCACCATTGACAAGGCAATGTTCAGGTGTATATTGTAAGGATGCCTGCATTAGTCAACCCCAGTTTACGAATAGGGGTGTGTGTGTGTGTGGGTTTAGTGGGGAATCATCATGGAATCATCACCGGACAGTACTGGAGATGGACAGAATCCACCAGGCTCTACGGGCAAGCCTGAAAAAAAAAAACATGTCCATGCGCAAGCCGGGATGGCCGTCAATCTGCCGCTTGCGCGGAAAAAGGCACGTCCTGGGTGCACAGGACCATCAGTCCTTTGCCACATGGCCCATTTCAGCATCCTCAAGTCTGAAGTTACCCTTCATGTGGTTCAAAGGGCACCCTCCCAGAAGTAATCAATCTGGGTGAATTATAACGACCTCACACGACCTCACCCCAAATGGTGGTTTATGTAGGGAGTAGCCCCCGACCACCTCATTTCATCATTTCAGGTTGGTGAAATATTATAATTCACCCAGATTAATTTGGAGACCATATGAAGACATCCTGAACCCCCGGAAGTAACTTGGAGAAGCCCTCAAATGTTCGCAAACTGAGGGTCCTGAGGCGCAAATTCTTTTTGTGCCTCTTGAGCCTGCGAGGGGCACGGCCAGGGGGCCCTTTTTAGATTGAAAGGGGAACCAGCCGCAATTCGGATCCCATACTTTGACTAGGTCCCCCAGCTAGGTGGCCCTTTTACCGTTTCTTTTTTGGTTGGGAGGGTTCCCCTACTAAAACAGACCGAACAAGTTGCTACCCTTTTTCCATGTTGGAGGCCCTAGCTGACACACCCAAGCAGACTTGTTGGCCAATCTGCTTGGGCCGCGGGAAGTGGCCAAACAAAGCGAACCGAACCGCGCCAAGTCAAACCAAGCCAAACATTCACAAGAACTTGAGAGCCGCTTCCGGTGCATTTCAGAAACCAAAACCGGACCTCACTTATACCCAGCCTCCAGTTGCTTAAGAGCATGTTTCGATTTTCCCCTTGTTGGTTTTGATGGGAATCCATTGCTACTGGGCATATTTGCCCATTTCTTCCAGGGAAGGCTTTCCTTCAGCAAATGGAAGTTGCAGTGGCTTCCTTTGGTTTCCCTTGAAACTAGCCCAGTGCCATCAAACCGGCAAGGTTTTTGCCCCCTACTCCAAAACCCCGGCCTTTTTTCGGGGATTCCCATGTCGACCCTCTACTAAAAAAGGTGTTTTTTTTACCATGAAAACAAGGTTTTCCCCAAAAATGCCCTGAAAAAACAGGTATTTTGAGTAGGGGGTACCCAAAAAACCCGAACGGCCCCAATTCCAATAGGGGGCGCTTGGCCCATGGATTCCACAGAGGGGGTCGGGGGTAACTTGGGTCTGTCTTAAAGAGCGGATTTTTTCTGGAAACTGGTGGTATTCCCTTTGGTTTCCCTTGAAAACCCACCCCAAAAAGGGTTCCTAGAAAAGACAGACCAATATGTGTGTTCTTCAAAATTGGCTTCCATTTGCTTTTGTTATATTTCCCCTGTGGCTTTTTAAGGAAATCTTTCCCCTATAGTCCCCCAAAAAAGGGGTTCCCTCAAAAACGACAAGCCCAATACGACTCGCGAGGCTGTACCTCAAGGGCCGCGCGGCCTCCTACGTGCCGGGCACTTGGCCTCCAGCGTGCGCAGCTGCTGGGTCGGTTTTTTTGGCACAGCCTGACCCTGGGCGCTTTTAACTCAGTTGTTCAGTGCCACCCTTTATTACGTTTCCTCTTTTTTTTTTGGGGGGGGGGCTGGCTGCCCCACTAAAAATGGCCTTCCCCAAAATGGGTTCCTTTTTTCCAGCGTCACTGAACAACTGAGTTAAGGGTTACCCTCCAATCTTGGAAGCTGATGATCGGAGTTTGTTGGATCCATGATTGGAGGGAGCCAACCGGAGGTTGGTTAGATGTCTATCTAGCGGTCTCAACTTCATCCAAACATTCGGTTTCAAATTCGTAGGTTAGGCAGAGTGGCTTGACCTTGGTTCAATTCGGTGAGCCAGACGTCCAAGCTCCTAGGTGATCGTTTGACCGACCTTCTGGTCACTTCGGCCAGAGATCCAAGAGCCCGTGCGACGAGCCGAGCAAAGGGCCCCTGGCAAGTACCCCGTGGGGGGCAAATCCCATGAAAAACCACTGGGTCTTGGTGGTGGTTTGGGGGTAGTGTAAACCATCTTAGCTCACCCCGGGGAATGTTGTCAAGCTTACCAAGGTGGGTGGTTTCGCGAAATTCATAAACACCGCGCCAAAAAAATGAAACGCTGGTTCGATTCCCCGACGTACATACCGTAGCAAACGTTGTGGTGTCAGCCATGGTGTCATTTCGGAGGTGCGAAATTGGATTTCGCAACATTTCACTGGAAACCAATTCACTGCCGGAGAGCTAGAAAGCCTGGACGATAATGTCTGTTTTGGAGGTCGCTATGTTGCCTAAAGAACTCTATAAGAAGAAAGAGGCTGCACGGGAACATAAACGACTGTCCGAATCAATGCAAGCATGGTATGGGGGGGGGTTTTTCAGGTTGCTTTTGCCTTTCTTGGCTTTCCTTCCAAATGCTCAGGCCCACATCAGGACCAGTTGGGATGACCGGGACACATTTGTTTCTTGCATCATCTTCCCTTTAGACGGGTTCCTGGGCCAACAAGTGGTGGTGCTCTATCCATGTAGCTAGTTTGCGGGCCTACTTTTGTGCAGATCAAGATGGAGCACCACAAGCCAATTTGCTTTACTTTTGGGAAATGGACGCCCCCAATTCCAACAGGGGCCCTACTTTAGCTCTTTGATTCCACAGAGGGGGTCGGGGGTAAGTTGGGTCTGGCTTAAAGTAGCGGACCCTTATAAAACTGCGGTATTCCCTTTGGTTTCCCTTTAAAAGCCGCCCCAAAAGGGTTTCGATAGAAAAGACAACCCAATGTGGGAGTTCTTCAAAATTGGCTTCCATTTTCTGAAATGAATATTTATCGATTTCCCCTCTTGGTTTTTGAGGCAATCCAGGCAATCCATCACTACTGGATTTGTTCTCCAGGGGGGCTTAAAAGCAAATGGACGTCGCAGACCGATTCCTCCAGGCAGGTGGTTTCCCTTTAGTTTCCCTTACTAGGTCCCCCAGTAGTGCCCTTCTCTCCCCTTTTTTGGGGGGGAGGGTTCCCCTGCTAAAATAGACTACCTGAAAAAGTGGGTGCCCACTTTTTCTAACCTCTCAAATCTGGAGGGCCTAGCTTCAAACCCCCCCGGAGTCGAAATCGCCGGAGCTCCGCTTCGGGCTTGGGCTGTGGCCGGAGCCTGCGGCTCAGGCCTGGGCAAGAGCGCGTGGCGGAGGCTCGAGTCTTCCATGGCGAGTCCCGGGGGTTGGAGCCGATTTCGCCCGGTCGTGCTGTTGCGATGGGGGAAGAACTCGCTTCCTGAGTTCATGAACTTGAAAAACTTTTCGGGTTTGGACCATTTTAGTTGCAAACGCAAAAAGTTTGGGGACTTTTTTTGGGCCATCCACTCAGCCAGTGAGAGAATGTCTTACTTGCCCAAAGCGAATCGACCAATTTTAAACCCTCTTAGTTTTCCGGGGTTTGGGATCCTATTTGTCGTCACCCAAAAGGTGATCACCTTTTATTTTCCAGGTCCCCAAGGGGCAAGTGAGATGTTGACCCCGGATGAACCAACGCCGGTTTATCAATAGGTGGGGGCCCGTGAACATTAGCCTTCCGGGTTTTGGGAATGAACCAGAGGATGATTAAAGGAAACCACAGGGGATGGCTTTGGTCGGTCATTTCCATTTCTCATTCCCTGCCTTTCGATCCAGCAAGATTCTGAAAGGCCAATGGAAGATAGGAGGCTTCCCCTTTCCTGGCACTCTTTAACTCGTTTGGTTCTTTCTCGCTGCGCCAAAAGACTTAACCCCGGCCTAAAAACATGCAAGCTATAGGTGTCCTTTTTTGGGTTGGTTTAACGGGCTTTTTGGGGGTTACCCTATTTTCAGACACACCAACATTACCGTCTGAATCAATGTTGGGTGAGTTTCCTTTTGGTGATGTTTGCACGGGACAGAAGTGGATCCTCATGAGGATTGTCCTTGAGAACCGATCCATGGCAACTGGTTGCTCAGTTGCCCATTGGCGTGCAAAAGTGAGGGATGCACCATTTTTAGCTGGAATCCAGGCTGGCATTCCTCCAGGGGTTGATTCCCCATTCTTTTCAGCAATCGTTCTTTTCAATAACCAGCTGTTTCCCCAGGGTTTTTGGCGGTTTTCCCGCAAGCAGGATCCCTGGAAAGAACGGGGAAGCTACCCCTAGAATTCCACCAATGTGCTTGTGGAGCCTCACGGCCACCCTGATGCTCACAGCCTTGACTAGGAAGGTCTTAGGGAAGCGCTAGCTAGGAAAGTCCTAGAAAGGTGGGGGTGGGGCTGGGGGGCTAACCGCTTTCTCAAGTGCGATTTCTTGGTTTCACCAGTGCTTCGCGCCAAAAAAAACGCCTCATCGAAGCGGGCTTCTCCGATGTGCAGGAGCATTTGTCCAAGGCCATCAAGTCGGTGAGCCCAATGCAGAGACAGAGACGCAGAGGCGCAGGCGCTATGCTAGGAACTTGCCCTAGCATGACTTTAATGTTCACCCCATGTTAATCAACCCCTGTTGATTATTATGGGGGTGTTCTCCTCCAAAAGTGGTGATTCTCCACTAAAGCCAGGGACACCCCCCTATTAGATTTGACCAATATGGGGTCAACATGATTGGGGATAGTTTCCACTCAAGCCTTACAAGGTGCAGCGTTTGCTATCCCTTTTGTTTGGGATGGATCCTTGGCAGGTACGTGGAGATGGCTGTTCAGAGCATGTTTCTCTTTGATATGTTGGGTCGGCGTTGCTTGCTCCTTGCTTGACTTTTCGTTGGTGGGCGTCCTGTTCGCTCTTTGGAGTCTTCGCCGAGAGCTGTGTGTGCATTTAGGGGTCCATCCATACCCCCTGATGCATGCGTGAAAGGGGGGAGGGCCTGCCCGCAATAAAGCTGCCAAACACGTGGGCAACAGGGAAACAAGAGCGCAAGGAAAATGGCATGGAAGGGACTTTTCCTAGATGGGGTGGATGGGTAGAGTCGCCCAAATCAAATACCTGGCTTTCTTTTGGTGTGACCGAATGGCCCCAGAGCGATCGATTCGTCAGAAACAAGGTTTTCCAAGCCTGCAAAGGGTCTGACGACCGTTTGCTCTCTGGAGTGTCTTGGAGCAAGCCAGCGCTTGTCTTGAGGAATGCTCTTGATTGGATCAGTGGTTGGGGCCCCACACGCATAAGTGAAGTGACTTGTTCGGGGATGCGAATCCAAAATCGGTGGTGTTCCTTTGGGCTAGTGCAGGGAAATCACCAGTGTTTCTCCCGACATGGTTGTTGCTTTGTGGCTTGTTTTTTAATGATCCCCCCCTAAAAAGCAAAACGTGAAAAGTATGTTTTTCCCTTTGGATTTTCCATTAAACTCCCAGGGGTCTTTTGGAGTTTCCATTAAAATCGCAGGGTTTTCCCTGGAGACGAGTCAAGTCTAGTCTTTTCCAAGACGAGGCTGGACCCCAAGCTCTTGGATGCCTGGAACGCCTTGGGCGAGGCACGATGGACGGGCTCGCAGTCCGATAGGGGGGCGATGGCTTTTGGCTCCTTTGGGGATAGGGGAGGGTTTATAGGTTTACGCTTTGGGGTTTGGAGTGTTTCCTCGGTGCTTTAACCGGCCGTCTTGTTCAACTTGGCTTTTTAGATCCTTTTTTGTTGGTTTGGTGGTAGTTTGCGTGTTCAACCCACAAGTTAGTCACTTTTAGCAGGGGATCTGAGGGCAATCCAGGGAAAAGGGCATCTCTTGACAACCACACACTGGGGATATGCCGACAGTTTCGTATTTGTTGACTCTCTTCCACATTTCGCCATAGTCCGCTTCTTATTTCAGCTTTGGATAGATTTTGGATCATTTGAGCGGCAAATATATCATTTTCTTCAGCCCTTTCGCTCAGGAAGTGAGGGGTCGCGCGTCGTGTCGTGGCCCTCGGGTCGCGCCAGGTGTACTGGAACTTGCAGGACGTCGGTCAGGTGCGGCGGGGTTCTTCCGCTAATTAGACTTACCTCTTACAAACACAACTTTCAACTTTTTTGGGGTAACATGGGTTATATGTCTGTAAAAGATTAACTTCCCCAGGGCTTGGAGTTTTAAGGGGTAAGAGTATGAATCGGCACCTCGGATGTAAAGCAAAACATCCTACTAGATCCAAGGCCACCCGCGAAATGGATCCGGAGTCCTAGAAGAAAACCCCGAAAGCAATGGGTGAGTCCAAGGGGAAAAATCCCTGCAATCGCCGAATCTGGCTGGGGTTCTGCTTCAATCCGGGGTTAACATCACTCCTATGGTGTTCCTTTTGGCCTGAATGGTCCACTTGCATTTGTGTTTACACGCAGTGGCTCGCTCGGAACAAGCCTTTGCACCAGCCAGCTAGCCAGTTTGTCAAAGGGTGGGTCACTCACTTCATGGGTATGATCCCTTTGAAGTGGTTTACCATAGAGCTTCTGACAATTGCCTATAGGGTTCTCCTGTTCCCTTTCAATCAACCATTTAGCCAGCCAGCCTCTTGGGATGTTTCGCAGGCAGCGCGGTGCTTCGAACAAGCCCTCGAACTCTGCGAGCCGAATGACGCGCTTTGGCTGCGAGTCGCGAGTCGACGTGTCGAGCCGTCGAGCTCCGGTCTCCGCGCGGCTTGGGCCTGGCGCTGCGCTGGTTGTAAAAAGTGAACCTCATCCTAAAACTGCAGCCCAAAGTTTGGCTTATGCTACAAAAAGGCTTGCTTTCCCGGAAAGCCGACATGGAACTTGGGGTTTCAGACATTTTGGACGTTTGGACCATTTCCCTTCTGGCAAGCTCGACCGGGAAGGAGGGCATATCAGAGAGCAAGAGGGACTTAAAAACGTCATTTCTAGGCTGTTTTTAAGCTCCAGGAGGCAAGAGGGAATTTCCCTGGGCAACCCACGGTCAGGGCAGAGCTTTCGAATCGCTCCTTTGGGACTTGGGGGCTCGGAGCAGCTTTGGTGTCTTTTATGGGGAGCGGCGGCACGTAGGTTGTGCCGCAGCATGTTTGGATTTGGCGAGGGAGGTCTCCCTTTAACATCAACCTAGCAAGACTCCGGGTGGCAATGCTGGTTTCCGCTGGGCGAGGGAAAAGGGGTAAGTGTTTCAACTCGGGTTTGAGAAACCCTCAGAACCGGTTCTTGTTGGTTCCTGTTCATTCCCGACATGGGGAGAACAAGTTGGTGAAACTTGAAAGCCACCTAGCGAAGCTCTGTGCTCAGTCTCCTGGAGAGAATTTCAGGCAACCCTGGGAGAAAACCTGCGAAGAACAGTTGTTTTTGCTTCGGGTCAACAAGACTTGGGATTCTCTCACAAATGGGGAACCCTCCTTGCGGAAAGCAGCGTGGCGAAACCAGTTTGAGTTGCTGCCAAGAGGTGAAACTTGTGCAAAGCAACACATGGGTCTGTTATTTTTCGAGATCGACCCCCTGTTCGGGTTGTTTGAAACACACTTCCTGATTGGATTGGCCACAAAAGTCCAAGCTTTTTCAACTACAAGAACAAAGTCCATGAACTCAGGAAGTGATTTGTTTTAAAGGGACACCGAAAGGACAATGTCATGGGTGTGTTTTTGTTTAGGGGACCCCCCAAAATCGCTTCGGTTGTCCTTCTAGTTTCCTTTCACAGCAAAAACAAACCCAAAAAGGTTGCCCTCAAAAAAGACGGCCCACATCCCTTGTTGCTTTTGTTGGGTTCGGGTTGCCAACTCAAAATGGCTTCGGACAAAACCATCCCCGATTGAAACACGGAATTCAAGAGGGGGATGGCCCCTGTGGTTGCATTCTGGTTTTATGATTTTCCGTTTCATCGGGGAACGCCAGATAAATCAATAAATTGGGGCCATGGGCCCCGCCTGTCTCGGGATGAACATCCTCAGCCTTTCACGGGCACCCTCGCCCCCTTTGGTTGATATCCACCCAAAGTGGAAGCAAGGCCAAAAGGCTTGGCAGCTGTTGGCTTTGGAGGCTTCCACTTCGCAAACCCCTTCAGCGCCCGTTTTCTCCGCGTTAGATTCCTAGCTGCGGCTCGCTCTTCTTTTGCCGGCATCCACTCCCACCACCGCGTTTTTTTTTTTTGCCGGGGGGCCGGGGGGCGTCGAGAGAAATCGCCTCCCCCGGCCGGTGGCACCTCGGAGCTCGAGGTGTCCCTGCGGAACTTGTCCATGGCCTTGCGGGCCATCGCCGGGGGCGAGGAACTTAGATCGACTCGGATCGACTCGGATGGACCGGGATCCGCTCGCCGAGTTTTTGCTTCGGCGGCCGGGGCCGTAGCGTATACCAATTATAACCAGTTGTTGTTGGGCGGCGGCCAGAAATCTGGCGATTTTTCTGGGGGAGGGGGGCATGGTTGTTTTTGGGTTTGACATGTTTCCAATTTTTGATCTTATTGTGGTTTAGTGGTTGGAATCCAACCACTTAACTGCTAGAAAATGGGAATTGTTGCTCCCCAAACCCAACGTCAACCAAGTAACGTGGAACCAGATGCTCGGGTCCTGCAAGGGCGTATTTTCCTCTTTTTTTTGGGGCCCCGAATCGACGTCAGGTTCCAGGCGAATTTGGTTTCGGCTCCAACCTGGTTACATAGGACTGAGGCCTCTCCTAGCATTGGTAGAGCCAATTTCCTCGGGCGCCGACCCCCGAATTTCGGCGGGCTGCTTTTCGCAGCAACCAATGACTCTAGTAGGCCCTAGTAGCAAAGAGCCATGTTCAGTTCGGTATTGAAGTGAAGCCACAAGAACTTGATTGCTTTTGGGTTGGATCTTTGGACCTCCTCATATTTGAGGGGAAATCAAGGGTTTTGCGAATTGAACCCACGCGAAGAGAACAACTTGTTGCAGAGGGGTCGTGCAACCAACCTCACTGTTCATGGCAAGGGTTTTGGTTCTTTTGATTTGTTTCCTTCTGCTTGTTCACTTTTTAGAACTGTCATTTGTTTAAGAATATCTTTTTTATTTTCCCCTGGTGGCTTTGAAAGGAATCGATCACTACTAGAATATGTCCTTGTTTTTTTCCTCCAGGGGGCGAAAACGCAAATGGAAGAAACGGGGGCTGCAAGAAACGTCGTGCTTGGGATGTCACTCCAATGGACCCAGTCCAAAGTGGAGACTCACCAGCGATCCTCGGCAATGGATTTGAGGTGCGAACCCGCTGGTGCAGGCCATTGCAGGCCCCTTTCAAGTGAATGAAGTCTTGCTTTGAATTTCACCTGGATCGCCAGTTGCTGCTTTTTGTCCATGCACTTTACCCCAAACACCAGCAACAGTGACTGAAAAACACCGTATCTTGGCTATCTATACAATCTATAGGCAGGTCTTTCCCTTTGATTCCCCTTTTGCTTCCTCCTCTGGCTCTCGTGAATTGAGGGCTGGTGTTTGGCTCTTTTCACACCTGGCGCCGGCATTTGGCCCCAGCCCCTGCCGCGAGGGCGTTTCGTTTACCGAAAACCCGCCCCCCGTTCGCATGCGAAGAAACCGCCGCCTCCGAGACCTACCTTAAGAAGTCCAACGTCACCGGCAGGTTCCATTTCACCTAAAGAAATCCCAGCAAAGTCAAGAGGTTCGACTCGGCTTTTTTCGTTTCCAAAGCCTTCGACTGCAAGGATTTCCGCCCTCTAATCCGGCGTCCGCTTGGCCACCCGCAGCCTGCTGCAAGAATCGGCAAGCTCGCACTTGCAATGGGTCTGCAACTGCTGGCCCTTAGTGGCCAAGAAATTCAGGCGCGCCCGGTACTCTGGTAATCGCCGCTCGCAACAGATCCGGGGGTTGGATATGGGGTGAATGGGGGGCGATGTCAAGCCCTTGTGAAATACGTGTTTACAGCACCTGGCTCTCAAAGTACCCTTAACTAGGTCCCCCAGCAGTGCCCTTTTACCTTTTTTTTGGGGAGGGTTCCCCTAGCAAAATAGACTACAGAAGAAAGTTGGTACCCTTACTCTAACCCTTCTACTGGAGGACCTAGCTTAAGGATATTCGGACTTGTTTGAGCATCCAGGTAGTGCTTCAACGTTTGAAACAAGGAGACCATGGGTTCAAATGCATTGCGACTGCGAAAGCCCGAGCTTAGCTCGGGTCTCACAGTTCCACACATCGCAGTGATTCACCTTCCCTCGTTGCTTGGTGGTTTGGAGTCTGGTCTGGTTACTGGTGGTTTCCCATTTGCCTGTACAAGAACTGGGGGTTGAAATCCAAATCCAAACCACCAACTACGGGTTACCTGAGCTAAACATAAACAAACAACCTGCGAAAAGAATACTCGCCCACACTCAAGCCTGGCAAACCCCGCGACGATCATTGCGCTGTGGTGTGGCCATTGTTCAGCATCGCTCTCGAATGCTGGCAGGGAGACATTTTGTTTGGAGTTGGTACACGGTTTTGGGTGGGCAACGGGAAAAACAAAGAGGAACGCTTGGATATCGATTTTGGAGGGTCCTAAGAGACGAGCCACCCTCAGAAAAAGAGATGCGTCCTTCATGAGTCTGAAATGAATCGCGTCCTTTCGGAGGACGCTTGGAGGACGGTCCGGATTCCAGATGAATCCGAAGATCACAATTTAGGTTGGAAGGGGCACTCCAATCCAACAGCAGAGTATTCGGGGCAGGACTTGTGGAACATGTCAATGTCAAATCACTTGTTTAGGGGCTTCCCTTTTTTCTGTGGTCCCAAGCAAGGAGCGCCGATTCCCGTTTCCAGTGCTCTTAAAAATCACATTTCTGGCCGATTTCAAGCTCTAGGAGAAATGTCGGGAGCCCTTTGTTTCCTTTTGCTTGATGGATTCGTCGCTAGATAAGGTCATCTTCGAGAAGAACTGGCCCCCTTTGTTTTGCAGTGTCAGTGTCCATCGGCTCAACCATGTTTTTGGGTGGGTAAGGGAAACCGGTTGGTTTAAAGGGCAACTAACCTGAAAACTGTTATTTTAGTTCTGCCAAGATCACTGGCTGCAGCGTGGGTTTTGGAAACCTATGAAGTGGGATTGATTATTGGAAGCACTAGTAGAAACTCATCGGCCAAACAAGGTTCCCTCTCTCTGAGACTGGGTCATCTCATTTTCTAGCGCCGAAGGGTCACGGTTCATGGAACCCGCCAGCGGGCCCCTAAGGAACATAGTCTTCCAGAACCCCTCAGTCGGATTCCATGTTAGTGGACAGCAGGTTACCCTGCCGTCTTCAACTGTTCGCTTCTATTTGCTGAAGACGATTATTTTATGTGTCCCTCTTGGTTTTGTGTATCCCTCTTGGTTTTAAAATGTTTTAAAGGGAATCTATCACTACTGGATCTTTAAAACCAATAAACAACCTCTCCAGGCGTCTTAACCAAAAGGAAGGCTGTGGATGGTCGCGAAATCCAGAAAGTCGCACCACGGGGCTCCCTTTGTTATTTTTCCACTGAAGCAAATGGAAGTTCGCCTTGGTTTTCCTTCGTTCCCGAATCTAGTTGGCGAGTTTGCCACATGCGGCAAGGCTAGATTTTGTCCGCTGCGTGGCTTCCCTATAATGATGGAACAGCGGGAATCCGCCGACCCTCCATTGGCCTGGCTGAACAAATGGCCCCCAAAATGGCACCTTGGATGGGAAGCAAAGAAAAACTCAAACACCTGCGTAGCCCCAGCTGTTCAATGTTGAGCCACCCATTTTGAACAGCCCAGCTTTCTTCCAAATGCGATTCATGCCCTGCTTGCGCGCCAGATTCATCGCGCCATGTCACTTGATGGACCCACAGGGGCAATCTGCGGGTCGGAGCAGTTAACGCTCGCAATTCATTGGATGCACTTTGAATGGCCCCCAACGTACCTCCCTCCCTCCCTTCCCCTGCCTCTCTTTCTCTTTTTCTCTCCTTCTCTTTTTATCTCCTTCTCTTTTTCTCTATCTCTTTTTCTCCATGTTCTCTCTTTTTCTCATGTTTTTCTCTCCTTCTCTTTTCTCTCCTTCTCGTTTCCTCTTTCTCTTTTCCTCCCTGTTCTCTTTTTTGCTCTCTGTTTCTCACTTGTGCTCTAAATTTGTTCTCTCTTTATCTCTCTGATTCTCTCCTTTTTCTCTAGTTGTTCTCTCTTTTTCTATCTTTCTTTCTGTTCTCTCTCGTTTTCTCTGTTGTTCTTTTGTGTTTATCTCTTTCTTTATGATTTAGGGTTTTGTTTTTCTGTTTCTCGTCGTTTTCTCTATTTGTTCTCCATGTTTTCTCTTTTGTTTTCTCTCTTTTTCTCCCCTTGCCTCTCTTTTACTCTCTGTTTCTCTCTTTTGCTCTCTTTGTTTCTCCCTTTATCTCTCTGTTTCTCTTTGTTTTCTCTTTCTGTTCTATGGTTTTCTAACTTTTCCTAGGTTTTTGTTTTTTGTCTCTTTCTCTCTCCCTCTTCTTCCACAGGTGGAGCTGGCAGATGCCAAGAGCGTCCAGGAAGTGCGTTCGCGCGTCGCCGTGTTGCTGGGCTGCGATCCCTCCTGCGTCCTGCTGGCTCCCTGGCAGAGATGGAGGGGGTGAAGCCCACTTGAGACTGGAGACACGGGCAGGTTGGCCCTTGTCTTTGGTTGGAGTAGAGGGTATATGTTGCCGGGGGGGTTGAGCTAAACCACATCTTCTAAATTTCGGGTGATCTCTTCAATGCTTTTTTTTTGTTTTTTCGCCGAAAAATGCAAAGAAAGAAGTGAGCCGAGCTGAGACTCCGAAGAGCCGAGGTTGCCGCAGACAGCGCCCAGCTCGTCCAGGACAAGGAGATGGTGGAAGGATTGAAGTGTGATGCCTTGCGCCTTGACAAGAACCAACTCACAGCGCGAGTCGAAGCGAAGAATCCTCCGCAAGCATAGCCTCATGGTCAGACCACATGTGGGTTCTAGGGCCGTTTGTTTTCTGTGATGCCAAGGCAATGCCCTTCAACGTGATACAGCAGTCATGAAAATGAATCATATAGCGCGGGATGAGCATCAAAAAATAATTATTTTGGGGATCAACAAAAAATTATTTAGGGGATCAAACACAAATTATTGAGACCTAGTCTCCGGTCCCCTGCTCTCCTGGTCTCCTGGTCTCCTGGTCCTTGGTCTCCTGGTCCCCATGTCTCCTGCTGGTCCTGGTCCCTGCTGTCTCCTGGTCGCCTGGTCTCCTGTGTCTTGTCTCCTGGTCCTTGGTATCCTGGTCTCCTGGTCTCCTGGTCTCCTGGTCTCTTGGTCTCCTGGTCTGCTGGTCTCCTGGCCTGCTCTCCTA